AAAGAGATTCTACTCTGACTTGCAGAGCATATTGGGGGGGATCTCTGAAGTATTTCTGTTGGTTAAAATTAAAGTGCTTAGATGAAATAGCTCAGAAAACTTGTAAAAATCTTAGCTCTAAGAAGAATGGGAAAACATGTACTTAGAAACAGTGTTTAGTGTTCTCTGGCACATCTACTGTCCATTCTTTTCCCAAGCCTGTTGCCTCTTTCAGACTTAACTGAAAGGGGACAGCCTCTTTGCCAAAATACTCCCCTTAAACAAAGATAGGCATATCTAAGTGGAGTTGTGCTAGCTTAATCAAAGGGGTAAATTATTTTAACTTCAGTTTAAACAAGCAGCAGTACTGCATGTAAGTCTAATCAATTTAGTTTTGAGATCTGAGAGACATGTACAGTGAGAGCCTCTTTCGTTTAAAAATCTGTCTGTGCTTACAATTTAAAGTTATACAACAGGCTCTGGATTTGTGTGGCAGGGTAAGATGAACTAAAACTGAAGCTTTTAATTAAGTTCAAAAATGAATATTCATGCTGTAACCATGGTTACTGGGTTTTACTCTTCATTGTAATTCAGAATTTTGTATTCAGTCAGCGTAACTTGGTCCTGAGGCTGCCAAGGATGAAATTGGCAGCCTGCTAGAGGAACTTCCCTAGTGTTCAGTACCTTGGGAATGTACAGTCTTGGTTCAAAGCTGTTCTGAGGCATTTCATTTGCTGATACACTCTGTACTGAGCAATCCTAGAAGCAGGGACCAAACTCCAGGATTGTACATTTCCATTGCTCTAATAAGTGTGTACTGGTGGACTTCTCTAAGTGGAGTGATCTTCCACAGCCTGTGGTTTAGGGGCTTTCCTGGGATTTCAGACTTCAAACTGAGAGTCATATGAATGTCCAGGTGGTTCCTTCAGCTTCCAAAGCTTGCATAAAAACGTATCTAGTTGAGAGAGAGAATTATTTCAGACTGCATCTCAGTTTCTTGCTAGCATCATTTCAGACTTGCAGGTAGGTAGGAAGTGTAGGAGAAGGAGCTTTGGACAACCACCCTTGGCAGCTCTGTAGTCTGTGGTATGTATAGCAGGTGTCTTTTGCAGCCTGAGGTGCTTTACTGCCACAACAGTAGTGCTGGACTGAGCACTTTAAGCGGTACTTAGACCTGGGCAACTGAGGTGTTCACAGTAGTGCTGCATGGAGGCTGATTTGTACCTAATCCCACTTGAGCCTGGCACAGAGGGGAGATGTCTGTTGAAGTTCAGTCTTGATTCAGACTGAGGCTGACTTCTTGTGTGTCCAAATGTGGCAAATGCAAAAGTGCCTGATCTGATCGTTCCTTTTCTGCATACACTGATTCTTGTGTGATTCAAGTCTAAACCTTAAGGTATGGACAAAAAGGCATAATATTTCTAAGGAAGTGTTACAACCCATAAATGATAACTAACAGGAGTTAATTAGCAAGAGGTGGATAGAAGGGTTAAGAACACACACCATCTGTAGAACTGTCATGCGTCAGTAGTTTTTAATACAGACTTAAATCAGCAATTATTGGTGGTTTAAGGCAGGAGGATTAATAATAAGGAGATTACATCCTGCGTATCATGCTCTTCTTTCCTGAAGACTTCTTTTAATGGCTTATTACAGTTTACAAAGCCACAGGCAGATGTCAAACTAGGAGATAACTGAAGGTATTTTTTTTGAGGAAACTGATGTCAGCTCAGTTAGCATAGCATTCTTTATTTAGTTAGAATAGCTTTTTTTTTTTTTCCTCACGTTGAACATAGTTCTTCAGCTGTATGCAAGGCTTTTTTGTTTTGTTATTTGTTTTTTTTTTCTACCAAGCTGTATCACTTAGCAAACAAGAATTCTGCTTCTCTGTCTAGGTCCTATAATATTAACAAGGTAGCACATCAAGCTGTTGAAGAGATCCTTAAGATTGGTGAGTGAACAGTATGGCATCAGTAGAAGAGTTTATATAAAGATACACATATCTAACTGGAGCTTTTTCTCTTGGCTTAACAGCTAAAAAGCATGGAAATCTGAATATGCCATTGAACATGGAACTAGTACAAAAAGGTTAGTGAAAACGGCAAGGTTTTTATAAGGTATCTTAACCTTGACCAGTTCATTTTGTTTGTTCTAATACTCAGCACTGCTTTCAGTATTTTAGAAAAAATTTTAAAATATTTTCAATATTTTATTACTCTTCCAATATTAATCTTTCTTTCAGACATTACTTAGGCCCATTTGGTGAAAAATGAAACTCTTTTTTAGACTTTCTGTATCGGGTCTGACTGAGCTTCTTTTCCCACTGCAGCCTCCTGGCGCAGTGCCTGTCTGTTGGGAGTCAGAAGGGTGTTGGTAACACCCATGTTGTGAGCACCACTGGGCAGTGCTCCCACAGCACCAAGGCTCTTTCTGACAGTCCCCTCGCAGTGGGATGGGGGGCAGGAGCTTGGGGGGAACATAGCCAGGACAGCTGACCTGAACTGACCAAAGGGATATTCCATACCAAATGACATCAACACAGCTATAAAGCTGGTACAAAGGATGAAGAGAGGGGGCTACTCCTTGGTCCTCCAGAGCAACTGCTACATGTTTTGGAGCCCTGCTTCCCAGGAAGGGACCAGACATTGCCTGGGGATGGGAAGGAGAGAAACAATCTTTGGGTTTTTCTCTTCGCTTCTGCATGTGGCGCTGCTTGGCTTTGCTTTCTAGTTAAACTGCCCTTGTTTTTACCCACAAGGGGGTTTGTCTCCATCTTATTTTCCTTTCTCCTTTTGCTCTGTGGAGGAGGGAGAGGAAATGGGGAGGGTGATAGAGTGGCTTGGTGGGCATCTCTTGCTCAGCCAGGGCTAACCCACCACACTTCTGTATGTATAGAAATTCAGGAGAATTTCAATTCTCCTAAGATTTGAGACACTTAAAGTTTAATCACCTGAAGAGAGCTGAGTGTCACGCAAAAGAACTGAAAGGAATCTTCTGTAAAATTAAATTTTTTTTTTGCAGGTGAAGGCTACTGAACTAGCAGGACTCAATATTATCTCTTAGTAGGGAATCTGCTTCCTGGAGGAATGTGTGTTCTGAGAGTAATGAATTTTCTCTGGAAAAACTAATGCCTGATTTCTTTGTTTACAGTAACAAATGATTACAATGAGTCCCTACTTTACAGTCCAGAAGAACCAAAGATGTTTTTCAGTATTCGAGAACCTATTGTCAACAGAGTTTTCTCAAGTAGCCGTCAGCGTGGCTTCTCTTCAAAGTAAGTCTTGGCTGTAGCAGTCACTGCAGAGTTACTATATTCTGTGTAGTTGTCAAACTGAGTAATCCAGGAGTTTCCCTTGAAGTGTTTCAACTTCCAGTTTGTGTTTTGCAGGGCTTGAGTATTGTTCTCATAACAACAGGAAGAAAATGTTTCCAAGTTATGTTATGCCTTTCTAGTGTGTGATCTATGCACAATCTCACAGAATAAAATGTGTGAATAAAATGTGTGCCATTTCCCTCAGTGTGACACACAAGCATTGACAAACTGGAGTGAATTCAGGAAAGGACCACTGAGATTATTAAGGGGTCAAAATGCATGGTGTATAAAGGAGACACTCAAACAGCACTTCTGTTTAGCCTGAAGGAGACAAGACCAAGCAGGGTGGGTCCAGTTGCTGTCTTCAGCTGCCACTGGATGATTAGAAGGGAAAATGAGTTAACTCTTTTTAGAGCAGAGACTGAGGCAACAGCTGTGATTTTACAGGATGTAAGATTCTGATAAAGGAAAAATTTTTCACAGCAAGAATGATCAGGCAATAGCACAGGTTGTCTAGAGCTTGTGCTATCACTGTCCTTGGATATAGTCAAAACTTGAGTGGGCAAGGCCCTAAGCAACCTCATCTGTCATTGAAGTAAGGCCTGCTTTGAGTGGAATGTTGCACTAGGTGCCCTTCCAAACAAAACTGTTTGGTAATTCCATCATTTCCACTTAGAGCACTAGCAGCAGGGAAGTTTTCTAACTGATATTTGGAAAAATTTCTTCACCAAAGGGGTCAATAGTTTCCATTTGAACAAGTCATTCAGTCCTCTCTGGACCCTGTTAAGTATACAAAGTACCGAAGGCTTGGGAGATTCTAGAGTTTGGTACCATGCTAAATTCTTTTCTGAGTATGCTCCTATGTGATTAAGCCACTTACTGACCCACATAATGACTGTTCAAAGAACCAGTCTTACTGTTCAGAGAAGTGCTTGTGTGAAATACTTCATTTTTTTAAGCTGTTTTGTGAAAACTTATTTTTGGGGTTTTTGCAGAGTCTGTGTCCGTTCCCGGTGTTGGGATGCGTGCATGGTTGTAGATGGAGGAACATCTTTTGAGTTCAATGATGGAGCAATAGCTTCAATAATGATCAACACGGAGGATGCACTGTGCACTGTTCTGCTGGAAGAATGAAGGACTCTAGTGTCTTCTGCTGAAACAATTCTGGATCCAGAGAGAAAACCCCTGGAAACAGACAGCACATCACAGTGGTGCATTATGTCAGAAGTTGGCCTTTTTGGATGCAAGAGCATTTGGAGGAAGCTTGAGGTGCTCTTCAGTTCTTTGGGTAGGGGAAACAGTAGCCTAATATTTAAGGTCTTTTTGCATCTGGTGTAAAACAAATATCTGCAGACTTACCTCTCACTTCTGTGAAAATTGACATTTTAACCTGTAAGGCAAACACGAAAGAACATCTTTTTAAACACAGGTAGATGGGTTCAAGTACTAATTCAGTAGCATTAAATACTCAGATGTACTTTTTTTTTGTAGTAACAGTCTGGGACTGATGAAACTAAACACCATCATACGTATACTTTTGTAGGAAAGTTGGCAGTCAATCTAGCAATTAGATGCAAGGGTATATAGATTTCAGTAAATCCTGACGTTGCATAATAGGAATGGTAATGCAAACTTTTTGTACACTTTTCAAAAATTTTACAACTTTGTAGTTTCATACAACTTGTGACAATTTTTTTTTCTCTTCCAGTATTTTTTTCTACTTTTAGATTTATGTTAAAAGTAAAACTGTTTTAATCACATCTTGAATGGGGTAGCTATTACATTTTTTTTCTTTGTCTAGAGAGGGACTTGGAACCCAAGGGTTTTCCTGAGCCCGTTAATAGGAATATACAAAGTATAGAAAAACATGTTGAAGTAAGATATACTCTTTCACTGAATGGATTAGCTGGCTAGCTGGTGTTCAGTCACAGTAGTGTATGTAGGTTGCAATCACTAAGAAAGGTATTTGGCCTTATTTAGTGGGATGGTTTGGAATTTTAGGTTCTAAGTTTCCTTATGATTGAAAAAGAAATATATTTGGGGTGCTAATGCTTGGAGCACAGATTAATACCTATGTCTCCCAGTTTTCCACGTATGTTTTTAACTTTCCCAGAAAGATAAAATTTCCAATCCTATGTTGAATTCTGTATTTGGCAACAAATTATTTTTAATTTTATACGCCTCTGGTCACATATTAGGTAAGCAAGTTGAGGTAATAGAAAAAAAGCTGATAATAGAAGAGGAAGTGACTTTTTAGATAATGTTTTAGAGAAACTGTGAACTATGGCTGCCTTTGAAAGTCTATGCTGATAATTGCATAGATGAGGAGTCAGACTTTAACAAAATGAAGATTACTACAGCAGGAACTCTTCTGCTACATGACTTGAAACAAATGTCTCTTGTCCTGTCAACTACAGATCTATTTCCAAAAGTGAGTTTTCTTCAAACTACTTTTGAATGCAGAGACTTCTGTAATAGATGTTCTCAGGTCTAATGGAAATGTTCTCCAGTGTATTTACTGCAAATCACAAAATGCAGACTTATCTTTATAGGTGGAGGAAGGGGATAAAGTATTTTTTCCTCCTACTATGTAAGTGTTTGTATTCACTCTAAAACAGAATAGAGAGGAAATTTGTTTGACCAGACCATTCACTTATAGGAAAATGTGATACTGATGGAGCTTTTTGAATAAGCTATCACTTGTTTGTGTGCATTTTCACCTTTTAAGTGTGCTGCAAAATGATTTATCTACACTATCTTCCTGAGTTATCATGGCTGCAGATCAGAAGAGGAAAAAAAATCAAAGTAGCTAAATAGTCTTTCAAAACTTGGTGTGCTCAGGAGCTATCAGAAGAAAGCTTTTAATGTCTAAAATCTGCAAAATTCGCCTAAAGCTAAAAATGCAAGGGACTAATCTTTCTTTAGAAAGTTGACTGCACAGATACTAGGGTGTTCCAGTTATTCCTAATCCATCCGTAGCCAGTTACAGATGGTTTATGTGCCTCTGTCTAGTACACTAGTCAATATGCTGTTAAGATTACAAAACAAAACAAAACAAAAACACCACACCGTGCACCCACCAATGCCATTAACACCAATTTATGACTTCCTAGGAGTTCACCACTGTGTGAGATCAGAGGCTGAGGTATTGAAAATGTCCTTGAAAACCTGTGTAGACAATTTTACATCTGAAACCCTGTCCCCTACTTATTTAGAGACACTTGTGTGCTGTGACGTTTTAATGGGGACTGATTTGGTCAGGGTGCATACCTCTTAAAGATACCAGTCATTATTTAATGTGACTGCTGAACTAAAACACAATGTTTTGAGGCGCTACAGACCCAAAGCATGATCTGGCTTAGGGCTTAGTAAGAGATTTCAGTCAAATTCCTAAGTTGCTTCACAAAATGGAAACTCGTTTTACTCATGAGTGGCCTCTACTGGTTTTGTCTCTAGTTAATTGCACTTCTGTTGAAGCATTTACTGGTGAATGCTTGATTTAAATAACTAGGATAATTCGGAGATCTGTAATAGATAAATAGTAAGCAGCTACTTTTTTTATTAAAGGAACATAGAATTATTTTAAAGGATCCTTTATTACAAAGGATTGCAGTACAGACAATTTAACTGGTAGATAGTATTCCATCACAGGACTGGGTATTGGTTTAACACTGATTTAATCTGCCTGGACTGGCAATGAACTCTGCACCTCTTCTATCTGCTGAATCAAATCCATGGTCTTTTCATTTAGTGCCAGTCCACACGGTGTTCTGCTAAACTAGACCTGTCATTCTTTGCCTTTTGTTTTTTTTAAAGCAATGTTTATACATTATGTAATAAAAAAATTAAGATACAGGAAGCTGTCCTGTGCCTTATTTCAACCTCGAAAGTGTTTAATGTGCCCAGTGTCTTCTTGCTTACTGGGCAGTTTGGTTTAAGTAACGGTTTCTAAGCCTTCATGCTTAAGGTAAAATGCAGACTCAGGTTGAAGTTGCAGGTTTTGGTACGGATTGCTTGGAGCTACCAAATTTTATTTCTTCTGCTAGGAATAAGTCAGTGGTGCAGCTTATCCAGAGGAATTCCTTTATGTGTATGCTACAGCTGCCACCGTAACCAGCAGCCCTGCAAGAGAAATGTTTGTCCTCTTCCAACACTGAACTTTAAAAAGAAGTTCATGGCTATTCCTTCCAGCTAAAGCCACACTACTATCCCTGCTCTGTACAGGGTTTTAAAAGCAGTCTATTAAATGCTAAATGTATTGGTTACAACACCCTGTTCTCTAAACCAGACCTACCTTGGACAAGCATCTCCTTTTCTGCTTATAACCCATCACAGAAAGTTTTTGTCAAGTCAAGGAAACTGCCCCCCCATCAGTCATTTTGTACACTACAGCAATTCCTTAGATCTTTATTAAATGCAAGCAAAGTTCCATGGCATTACACTGTGCATAGGGAGAGAAACTTAGAGCAGTGCTGTGCTGCAAAGATTTATTGTTCTTGAAGTAATTTAAGGCATAAACCTGAGGCTTGCAGACTGAAGCAGAATACCCAGTATCCTCCAGATCCCCATCTCCACTCCCGTTTTTGCAAAGAGCGTTGCTCATTAACTCCTCTGTAAGAGGCACAAGCCCATTAGTGACTCAAGTGTTACATACACTGCTAAATTTAACATAAGACAAAACTTAGACTTACAAGATGATGCATGTGCTTATAGTAGAGAAAGTAAATATCCAATTCTACAATCTTTCCACAGTTATTAATCTGTTCTGTACTACCAAGTATTTACTCCTGAACTCCCTTCTTCAGGCTGAGGTGGGAAACACTGTACCTGTGCAACAGCCCCACAGTAATGCTGCAGGCTGCCCTGGGGCAGCTGTGAATAAATCACTGCATCCAGGGAGCAGCACATCCATGCCCCACACAGGCTGTGCATTTTGCCCTAGGACTTCTAAACTCACACTTCTACCTGCTGCAACAGTCCAGGCTTATGCACAAGGACCCAGATGACAGACACAAAACAAAGTTTTAAAGTCATTACCTGTCCTTATCCTTAAGTTTGATTAGTTTTTTGTGTGTTTTTTTTTTTTTAACTCAGCTTTCATATGACTTTTAAAAAAAAACCCAAACACTAGACCGTAGTAGTTAAGTGTGACAGATACAGGAAGTGAAATGATATAACAAACCAACTATTATAAAAGAGAATTTGATGTCCCTTAATAGCAACAAATGTCTCTTCCTTCCAGCACTTCATGCTGTAGCCCCAGGTTTTGGCCTGAGATCTAGAAGCATTTGAGCCTTTCTCTGCAAGACTGTGGGCAATGCATTAGTTGCAGTTGAAAGATCTTAGTCTTTAAAGGAAGCAAGAAGTTTTAAAAACATTTTGTCTGAGACCAAGCTCAAAGAAACTACATGAAGGTTCTGTAATACCTAATGTAGCACCACAACATGGAAAAATTGATAACCAGTGTCTACTACAAGCTGGAGCACAGGTCATTCCACCTCTACATGAGGAAGAACTTCTTTACTGGAAGGGTCCCATAGCACGGGAGCAGGCTCCCCAGGGAGGTTGTGGAGCCTCTTTCCCGGAGCCTTTTAAGACCTGTCTGGATGGGTTCCTGTGTGACCCGCCCTAGGCTAGGTGGTCCAGTTCTGGCAGGGGGTTGGACTATCTCCAGAGGTCCCTTCCAACCCTTAAGACTCTGTGATACTTTTATAGGTAAGTATTCTGAATGGACTTTCCAGACTACATTTTGCTGACGATGAATACTAAAAGCAGGTATCACCTTTGTGGCCTGCTAAAGAAAAACTTCACTGTAGCTCCTTTACACTGCTTCTAGTATAGTACTGAGATGTCCCTTGGCTGCTTTTGTGTAGACATCCCTTCCCCCATTTACTGTTTTCAGGGTTGGCGAATTCATACTCATTCCTCTGGCCATCTCAAACAGTGGATAGTTTTTCATTTTAATGGTACACTTTGTTCAAATAAACAGACAAACCAAAGCCTTATTAAGGTATCTAGCACCACTACAAATCATCTCAGGAGCTGTAGAGCTGGAAGAGTTACACAAAAGCACCTTTAGAAACACCTTAGAGCAACAAAACCTGCATCAGAACCTGCAACAGTTGCTAGAGCCTGACATTTAATTACAAAGATTCCTTCTTCTGAAAAAAAAGCTTCCTTATATTAAAAAGACTCAAAACTCTGGCTGTTCACAGATCAGATTTAAGTAGAAAAAAAACCTGTAAAAAATTAACGAAACTACATTAAGGCACAAGACCAAGTTAGAACACTTTTTACAATAACAGTACTATGATTAAAGGTGCTCCTTGCTTAAGGAGCTTCACTACATAGAGCATGTCTGGCACATCCCGTGCATTGTACATGATCATAAACCACTAGGATTTCTGAGAGTCAATCTGCATTTGATGCCCCAAATCTCATGGTTGTTTTTACTGCCAACAGTTGGCCTTGCGATACTTGTGAAGTATGAACAATTGATCTTGATGTCAGGAAGCGTTTCCTTGAGGAGCTGTAGGGAGCTATCAGTCACTATTCCAAATACCTGGAGAGTCATTAATGTTGGAATTTCGCCAAGTTGTCTAGAAAGAGAAAAAATATTAAATTAATCAGAAACCTGAAAAGACTTTTTTCTTCCAGTCTGTACCCAAACTACATTTGCTGCTTGCTGTTTCTCTCTCTCTCTCCCTTTTTCCCCACATAGAGAGAAAAATCAAGTGATTCCTTCATTTTCACTTCCCTGGACTTAAATATTTAGAACAAGTGGAAAGGAATTGCCTCAGACAGTTTTGGGATGTGCCTCAGAGGACACAAGCCCTTAGATACTATCAGTCTCCAACCTGTTACAATGTTTTAGTGAGTAGCCAGGCCTGGCTTCTTGATTGCTTCATATTTGCCCAGTCATCATGTGAACTGTGCATCTATATGCAAGTACTGGACAAAATCGAAAAGCAGAGATGCACAAGCACACACTGCTACAGAAAAGGTTCTTCAGATTCCCATTTTGACAGCCCTGTTCCTCTCAGAACCTGTTTCTTCTTGAGGATCATTTCAACAATGAATAAGATTAAGACAGACAGCTGCTGTACTAATAAAACGCAAAAAAGTCAACAATCAAGAAATTCTAAGCTCTGCTTCAATGGCAACCAATAACTGATACAAAAGCAAAGGGACAAACAGACTAGCTAGTCAGCAAGTGCAGTCAACTCTAACTTTTCCAAAAGACTATACCATCCTTGCTGCATAATTGGAAGCCTAATACTGACACTAGTGCTGGTCCCTGGCAGGACGGGCACCTCCAGCTGCACCCCACAGTAATGAGTACTTGTGGTGTGAGGCCACGAAGGGAAGGCATGATGCCTGCACCCAGCAGCGAGTTCCCCAAGTGCAGATTGACATCATGGGAAGGCTATCGCAGATACCCTGGGCTCCAGTCTGCATTCTCAAAAGTAGATGTTCTACCAGTCACATTATTTTATCTCAGTTCCTTATTCTTACTCGCATCAGGAATTAAGTTTTTCAAAATAGTACTTGCAATTCTAAACCCAATACAGAGCACATTTCCATGACCCTCTGCACGCAGAGCAAAGGAGAGCCACTTAGCGGTTACTTACACTAGGGCGGCGGGTGATATCTGATAGCATCGGCTCAGACACAGATGTTGCAGAAACGGGAGTTGGTGAAAGTACTGGAAGCACTCAGGCTTCAACATCACGCTGTCGCTGCACACAAGAGCACAGGAAATAGACGTTTAAGTATAACACAGCAGTAAATTTGCTATTACCAAAATTCAGGCTTGGAAATTTACTGGGTATCAACTTATTTTTCCTACCAGTGAAGCTTTTTTTTCCCCCCCTTACTATGGAAGTCACCCATTTCTACTGTGTGGGTGTTGTAGTAAAGGGACTCTGATTTTCAGTGAAGAGCAAGTGAAGCAGAAAGCAGATATTCCGCAGAAGAACACAGGACGTGAAAAGGCAACTAACGTTGCACACTGAGAATTCAAAAGATTATAACTGACAAGGACAAAACAAAAAATACTTTAAAATTTTTTTACAGTTCTATGGTCAAGTAACAAAATTCAATCAGAGCTGAACTAAACTCTCTCTAGGATGCTAAGCTCAAACTGTATGGTTCTGAATGCTTCCTTCCACTCTGCCTATTGACCACAAGCACCTGCTAGTTAACAAGTCCTATTATGTAAAACTTATGCTGAGGTAACAGTAATCTTCAAGTGAGTTACCTGCTAGTTAACAGGAGCATGACCCACAGATTAGGTCATGCCACAGGAAATCTTTTGTTGGTTTAGCATAGAAAATATTTTCTGGTTGTACAATCCTACACAATTATGTGTTGTTACATAACTACTGCACTGCAATAGAACTGGCAATCCCCTAAACCACAAGAATTTAAGGACTGGTTTCATAGGTCTTACCTTAGATCTAAATGGACAAGAAAAGGGCATCTTTCCACCAGTGTTTTAACATCTGAAAAGAGGTCACAGAGTCAGCCCATCTTTCAGTAGAAAAATAAGCATGCTTTATATAGCCTACTCACTTCCTTATAAGCTCATTTATGACTTCCCTGCTGGAACTCCACAACTGAAACAACTTTTTGTTGAAAAGATACACACTTAGGACTTAGAGCATATAGTCTGCCTATCTAGATACCTGACAGGGACACTCTTAATCCTCAGCAAAACTGATCCGATAAGTCCAAAGAAATGTCCCTTAAGTCTGTTGCTCCACATACTCAGCAAGTGAGTAATTCAAGCGGTATTGCCAAGCCACAGTAATGGTGAGATGCCTGGAACTCCTAGATGTAGTGAAAAAAAAATTACAAAAAAATTTCCACACATCAAATACCCTTGCAGAGCATCAAGCTCTTTAGGCTTCTCCATTTTTACCCACAGGATGTTCTTTCCTAATGACAGAATGTTATGGCTTTCCTGATTTACTGTAAATTCTTGGGAACATCTTTTCATTGTCTGCAAATAACACCAAATCCCTTGTGGCCTGGGCCACTATTATGAGCAAGGTGCTAACTAACATGCAAGAGGATTTTGGTATTTCAGAATTCACATGGAAAAACTAAAGAAAATACCTAAAATACGATGAGTAGTGAACAATTCAAATCTTATGCCTTACAAACTGCATTGAAACAGAGTAAAAATTATTCACAGAATGTGTTTTGTAAACTTAAGAGCTCTGCACATTGACTCTAATGGTCAGATCAACAGAGGGTTCAAATTCCTGATTTGGAGGAGATGATGTTTGTTGATGGGGTCCGGGCTGAGACAAAAAGGCTGGTGTACTTCCACAGAAGGGAACGCATGCTGAGGTATGCATGACCTTCTAACAGAAAAAAAAAAAAAAAAATAGAGATTACTGTCTGCGTGTCCCCTACCTGCTTGTCAGCCAGCACCTTATCAGCACATTTGTCCATTGAAAAAATTGGTTTCTCTTTACCATCAAAACCATTTCATCCTTTGTAGGAAAATAACGGAAGATTGGCAAGGAGGACTTTAAACACTCTCAAGCGAATTGCAGCTGGGGTGTTGAAAAGCACATATATCACGTTAAATAAAGCTGCTGCTTTGCTTTGTGTGCTTGAGAAGTACGTCTGTGCTTAGATAACACAGGTCTCTGAAGGACTCTGAGGTACCTTACTGAACATGCTTGAGATTCCTGCCTACTGTGTGAAAGATCAAAGCACAGTAGAAAACTACAACTGTAAGACTCCTTGACCCACAGCCAAAACCAGCATGTTCAAAAGCTTTTTCACTCTCTAGAAGGACCAAGCTCCACAGTGCCTGTGTCCTGCTCTGTGTTCCTCCACCTGTATACTGCTGGAACATGGAGATCCCCCAGTTCACAAGGTAATGCAAATAAATCTCTTTGCACTGCATCCACAGTTTTGTGGTTGTTCCTGCATCCTGCCTGAGCTGGCTCACACACCTTTTATCTATACTCTCATCCATTTTGTTGTGCCCTCTCCCCAAATCTAGATTTTTTCACAATTTCTATTATCCTGCAATTTTACCAACTTTCCTCCTACAACTATTAGCAAATAAATAGTTCATGTTGATTACTGAGATTATTGCCTTCCAGCTGGTATCTGTATGACATCATGTCAGGCCAAAACTCAGGTAGTCACTATTGATTACTCTTTTCTGGAAGATGCCTTCAGCAACCACAATAGCAGAAGCCTTAAGACTCCAAGAACAGTATTTGGAAGACTAATTCACAGCAGAACATGGAATCCAGTGTAACCTGATTCCAGGACTAACCTCAGAAGTAAAGACTATACCTTTCAACTCAAGACAAAAAATGAACTTTCGCTGGCATACTTTTAAATTCAGAACACAAATCATCTCGTTCATGCCTGAGACATGAATAAGATTCTCTGACAGTAAAAGCATATAGCTATACACAGCATAAAATCAGTCTTACTGCATGATTTTAGTATGCACACAGCAGGTACCAAGCAGAAGAAAATACAAAGCCTGATGTTTTATTCTGTAAGTGAATAAAGGTTTGCCATGCTGCTGTTTACCTGCTATTTGTAGATTTTGTCTGTATCCACTTAAATTTAATTGGGTTACATTTGAAGAAACATGACTGACTGCTGCTTTGACATGGGTGGCTGTGAAGCCACACCAGGACAGGTTCAGCTCCTCCAACCTACACACAGATGAAAAAAAGTTGTTCACAGGAATGACTGAAGCACAGTTTGAGTTCTGATATTATCTATTACAGTTGGTACTTTTAAGGCAAGAACTTGTAACACGCCTGCTCCAAACTACATTTGTGACTACAAACTTCACCATGGCAATATCTGAGCACAGGAGCAAGTTTCTCAGTGAAGCTGTGGAATCTGTATTTGGAGGTTTTCAAGATCCAGCCAGAGAAAGTCCTCATCAACCTAGCCAGTGCTGAATTTAGACCCTGCTCTGGGCAAAGGGTTAAAGCAACTCTCCAAGGCCACTTGCAAATAGAATGATTTAGTAACACGTTAAGTGAAATGCTTCTCTCTCGGGACTGCCCTGGGGAGACACTGTCTCTTTTTATGTTGCTTCTGGGTTTGTGACCTCAATCTGTTACTATTGAAGAGATGTTCACACTGGGAAGAGAAAAAGGCTATGCATTATTAGCATTGCTCATATCACCAGTTAATCCACATTCACATAAAATACTTCAGTTTGATATAAGCACTGGCCATGCTGCAACTTTTGCTGTCTTTATATGCTTGATTACCTGTGGCCAACCACCATTCCAGGCTGAGACGTGTGCAGGTGTTGTAGATGTAACCAGAGGTCAAAGACACAGTGAGCAGCACAACTAGAACATTTAGCTGGCAGTCTCAATGTAAACGAAAAAACAGTCAACTTGCCACAAGCACTCCTTGGATCAGGTTTGCCACTGCTATTCAACGTGCACTGGACCAAGCAATAGAAAGCATTATCTACCCATGAGAGGCAGAGAAAGACGAAGGCTTCGTCTGTCCATTAACCTGCAGTTTGATTAAAAACATGCTTTTGCAGAAGCAAAGATTAAGCAGATTGTCCAACATCTCACAGGAAGTCAGCAGAAAGATCAGGATTTATATCCTAGACTGACTGAGGCTCAGTGCAGTGACTTCCTGCCAGCAGATGGTTTAATCACAGGAGCTGTCAATCTGGACGTAGTGCTTCATAAAGTAGGTTACTGAATAATTATTCTGTCATGAAAGGAAAGGCACAATGTTTTTTGCCATTGGTCCTGTGCTCTGATTGCAACGGAAACTCTGGGACTCCACTTTTCTGTTTCAAAATGCATACTTTCACTTTGTGAGGATCACAAACTGCTTTCACTAAGAAAATAAAATTTACATGCTAATTAAAGGCATGTAAATGGGGTTCACTTACCAAGACTTCCTTTAAGGATGATTAAGTAAACTCATTAAACTACTGAAGTACATCTTTGCTACTGACGAAAAAAAACAGCTTGAAAGAAACTACCTGACTATTTGGCTAATAATCAACATTTAGAAACAAAACATTCAAAAGCATTTAGAAACAAAAACAGGCTCGGTAAAACGATGTTAAGAGAAACAAAGTTGGAATTCATAGAAAAAAAAAAACCCCACACAATCTTTTTTCCTCAGGAACAGCAGAAATAGCAAGCACTATTTTTATCTTACATAGAACAGCTGCTCAGCATCAGCTCCAAGGCTTCTGCAGAAAACCCCGAGCACCCACAGAGATTTAGTCGCATCAGAACGGGATTCTTAGCAATGCTCCTGAAGAAAAGAAAAAAGAAGAGCCTGATAATATTTAAATGTTGGAATATTGCTTGCTAGGACACGTGATTATTCTCAACAATCCCAGACACAGCTGTTTGTTAAACCTGTAGCGCTGCATCTTTAGTCTACTGACCAACCCAAGAGTCACTAAGGATCTCAGCTCTGTACTTGGTGCACCATGGTACAACTGCAAAAGGGGTACTTGCCTTTTTACCTGACATTCATGAAAAGTCTACATATTTATAAACGGCTAAGCTTAAAAGGAAACAATTTCCTTTCACCTTCTTTTGTCGTATGCCATTAAACACACACCATGGCTTATCTGAGATGACTATACCTCTACAAAAGATAAATCATCCATTTTCTGAAGTCACCCCTCTGAAAGATGGAGGTTATTCCAGAACAAGACGCACGTCCACATAGCATCCCCCTGAATGCATTTGCTTGCAAGACTAGAGCAGACACTGAATTAAGAAAACCTGGAAAACCTCTTACACCCTGTATCAACATTTGTACATAAGGCAAGAAAATTCCATCATTGGTGCCTAGTTAGTACCTAACTTTCAGACATATTTAATCTGGTATCAAAAGCCAAACTGTATTGGTTTATTTGTGCCCATGGGTGGTTTTTGGTTTAGGTTTGTTTAGTAGTTTTTTGCTGGTTGGTTAGTTTTGGTTTCTCCCCCCATGGTGCAAGGAAGACAGTAGAAAGCTCAGAAGTCAAAAGTAGGACACGGAGTCTCTGCCATCTGTCCTATGATCTCTTGCACCCCACAATCACCTGATGTGGCTGAACAAGAGGCTGACTGCACAACCACTTATGTCTTTCCAGTTTAACCAAACAACAGTTCATTTGCTTGACAGTATCTGTAATCTTCCAGACACTCTAAGTAACATTCAATTAAAAAAAAAAAAAAGTGAGAAACAGTACAGAAGCATAACGAGCATCTGGTGGGAGAGCTGCTGAGACCCCTTAAAACAGAAAAAATAAAACTGTATGCCAAAGCACAAAGTTTTCTTTGGAGCACAGAAATAGGAAAATAATTAGCTTGGCTGCGTGTACAGCCAATGGACACAAACCCTAAAGAGATGAGCAGTTTCTCCTGGCTCCTCCTACTCCAGGGAATAAAAAAACAAAACACCAAGCACCATGGAACACTCTTCAAGAGGTGTGTTTCCTCACCACATCTCTTGCAGGATAGAGGAAAGAGGCAGCTCATCTAGGCTGTCCACAAGTTCTGAAACTTCCCATTTCAAAAGACTTCCCACAATGAACAACTCCCAACTCTATTCTTTTTAGGTATTTATTTTTTTCTTTTTCAGATATTTACTGAATATTCCCAAACATGTCACTCACTTGATGATGATGTCAGAAAGCACTAGTCCCTCCAAGCTGAGGTTCTGCAGCCTTTCACAAAGACAAAGAATACTCTGGAGATCTGCAACAGACACTGTGCAGTTTGACAAATCCATATGTTGAACTTTGAGAGGTCTAAAAAATGAGAGAGGCAGGTTATTAAAATTGCAAACCTGCTCTGCAAATTCCACATACCATAACTATACTCTGCACACTAAAACTGTGGAAAGCTTGCAGAAAATAATCACACTGTTGTATTCAGCTGCACACTGGACATGCTGCTCAGTTCACTGCGCCTGCTGCTGAGCTACCACCCAAAACTGCAGAACTCTTATCTTCCAAGGCATTCACAGGATTTGGCAAAACACCTCATTATCTATTCTGATGGAGTTAAATAATTGTTCTGAGCTTCTTATATACAAAAGCTGGAGGTGCTGTCAATTCTCGGTTCCAAAAGCTACAAATTGCAAGAGGATGATGGCACTTGATACTTTTAAAAGCCACATTTACTTGGTTCTGAGTAACTGACAGATGAATGGAGATCCTCACATTTCAACACACACCTAACCACTGCTCAGCTCTTCCACACTCCAGAGACAGCACAAATGCTACTCCTGGTGGAGATCTTAAAACCAAAAGTACAGAGAAACTGTGAATATATGAAACACATTTTAAGGCTGCAGAACATACAGAAAAAGCCTTACTTGCTTGTTGTAAACAATGGATTCCAAATACAAGACCGTGGGCAGCGGAAAGCAGTTACACCTGCCGGCAGCAACTGTCCAATCGCTCCTGGCGGCAAATTCGTACCAGTCAGATCAAGAGTCTGCCAGAGAGATTCATCAAACCTAAGGCACAGGATTTTACTTGTTAGTGAGTTAGAAAGGGTCAGAACTATGAGTACAACTACAGAAGGTCTTCACTGTCATGCAAGACTGAGAGGAGGGAAAGCTACTTTATAGAATTTACTAAGGTTAAAATAAGTCATATTTTGATTATACATATATATCTCCCACATAAAGCATAAACTGAATTATACATGAATAAACAAGGTGAGAACCATATCACTTAACAGCCTATGGAAGCAAAAGTTTCTTAGTGGTAACTGACGAGAAGCATTACTTACGCAAGGCGATGCCATCTCTTGCATACCATGGAAACTTTTAGCAAGTTATTTAGGGGCAAATAAACAAAGATTGCCAGAAGTAATTCATCTGGAAGTGTATCCCAAGAAATACCTTTAAGGAAAGAGCAAATGTGTTCAAGTTAAAGCTGGTACATTTTTGCCTGCTGATCAGATGCCTTGTTTGGCCTCGTTGTTAAAAGCACCTCCACAGTCTCTCTCTAGGCTACACAGACATCAGCCCCCTCCTCATCCCTCTTTTAGCTCTTCATTGTAAGATATCATCACCATCATCATCTTTGCCTGGGCATGAGTGGCAAATTCAAAGCTCTCCATAACATCAACTTAGCATACATAATAAAGGGATGGAAAAACAATTTCCTTGAGAAAAATGACAATCTTCACTCGCATGCTCATTTTGGGAACAAGAGCATCCCCGTTACTTCCTTTGTATTCTAAGGCTTGTACAGCCATTTCCCCCCAGCCCTGCTGAAACACCCCCCTTCTCCTGTGTGTCAGATTCCCACAGGGAACACAAAGTGAGCTGTGCTTTTGCGGGGTACACAGAGAGCAACAGGTCCCGCAAACTGCTCCTTAAAACCCATGAGCTAACTACCACCCCCCTAAGAATTATCTGACAGGATGTGGCACCTTCTCAGCTTTTCACGAGTAGATGCAGGGCTCTGGGTGTTGCCAATCACATGGGAGATTTACGGGTGGTGGAGCTCAACACCACCTGCTATGACCCAGCAATCCACGTTTAAAAGCAGGGCTGTCCGAGGGCCTTCCCACCTTTCAGACCACAGCCCTATGTCTGCAGGGAACAGTTCCTTTACTTTTGCATTCTGTAGTTGCTGAGGACTGAAAATACACTTTGACACCAGGGAAGGGAACCCAGCATCCTACAACCCCTTCCTCAAGTGCCCCAGGCCTTCAGGGTACAGCCCTGCCCTTTCCCTGCCAGGCTCTTTCCAGCCCAGGAGCTTTACACCCTTCGCTGCACCTTCCTTCTAGCTCTCTGGTGGGGTCCCTTGCATTGCTTACAGCTCAGCTCCAATAGCAGTGGAGATGCTACTCTTCCATCATGCCTCAGCCTGCACTGGATGTGGATCTAGATCCCATAGGTCTCAAGGATCAAGTATCTTAGAAGCTTAAATGAAAAAAAAAAAAAAAGCAAAATCAAGCTCCCTGGGTTTTAAAATTCTGCTAAGGACAGCAGTGCCAACGGTCTGCATTCATCAGGCAGCCACAGCTGTATTTTGAGAAGCACAGCCCGACTTGGTATGTGGTGAAACATCTCCTGGAATGGGTCCCCTGGGCAGAGAAAGATAGAACTGTTGCGGCTGGACAAGACCTTTAAGATCACCAAGTCCAACCTAACATTACCAAGGCCACCACTAAACCATGCCCCTGACAGATACATCTCAGAGATGCTGGCCCAAGGCACCACCCAAGTTCCAAGCAGCAAGAGCAGACAGACACAGAGACACGCTGCACAAATTCCTACCATACAGACAGGGGCTGGCAGGGCTAGGCAGGAGACAACCATGGCTTACATGGTCCACAGTTCTGGAGCCGACACATTACCTCTGCTTAAGGGCTTACACAGAACAGAGCCTACCAGCCCAAGCCTAGAAGCCATAGGATTTATAAGTGACATTCTGCCTGGACAGAGGGGGGGAAAAAAAAAAAAAGCAAAGAATAAAATACTAATGACTTTCTCCCGTGTGATTCCCATTCTCCAGCTACTGAAGTGCGAATGAAACCTCGACTGGGCTGACGGTACCTGACTCTGCCTCTCGGAGCAGCCGAGGCCGGCGCACAATGACAAACTCCTTCTCCTTCACCTTCTGCCGCTTCTGAGGAGGACACTGCAACGACACCACGTCCTGCGGCGTGTTTTCATTGTCCACCTTGTCCTTCTTCAGGACAGACACTCCCATGCCAGAGAGAAACTCGGAGGTCCTGCCGGAGTCCCAGTCCCAGCTGAAGCTGCTGGAAACATTACTGCTGGAGGACGGGATCTCCTGGAGGTGTTT